TAAAGATGTGGGGTCTGCTAGGCAATCGATTTGTAAATATTCCGTAATGCGTACACAGTTTAACTTAATATTGTATCTTTAATTACTAAAATTATCGGAAGGAAATAGCATCCATCAGCCTACTATATTGTCGGTAATGAATTTATATTCGTTGATATGATACCAGAGTGACTTCTATTTTCCTTTAGATATTTTCATATATTCTTCTTTAAAAATGAATTAGATTATTCCATCTCCTCTTTTGGTAATTTTACAGGAGAGCAATTTTAATTCTATTATTTTTAATATGAAGTTTAACCTATTTTTAGCAATAATTTAATTTATTTTGTAAATATTTCGTACTTTTTTATGTAAATAGAATAATATACTAATAAAAAATTGATTTATGTTATAAAGTCATTTTTGACAAAAATGGAAGTAACCTAACTCTCACTCGACAAAACAATAAATAAATATTTATTTAGAAAATATAAAAGAGAATTAGAACTACCAGGTATATCCTTAAACGATTTTAGAACGCGAATCGTTCACCTTATTTATTTTTCAGCGTAAACTGATTGTTCTTATCTGAAGTCGTAAAACAGATTGGATAATTCAAATAAAACATCATACATCGAGGTGAGATCGTATAAGAATTCACCACTTGCATCGAACACCTCTAATTCTAAACAGTGATTTAAACAATGCCAGGCTATGATTGTTGGATGTAGAGCACATATGCGCTTTGCTACATCAGATTTTTTGCCAGTCAATGACACTGGCACCATCGCTAACAAATAAATTTAATTTCTTGCAAAAAAATTTGGAGAAACACTGCGAATTTAAGAAGATCCAGTAAGATATGAACTATCCCCTCTGCATTTTTCTATTTTAGGTTAATTAGATCTAAAAATTTAAAGATGGAATGATAAGAGGATACCAATGGCGATTTTATATAAATAACCAAGAGGGGGGGGGGTATTTGACAACATAGAAGATTCATCTACCAGGATAGTAATTTTCGATTGTAAATTGGAATATTCTTTACAATTATAATTTGCATCGTCATGTAACGAATTTTTAACAAGGCAGAATATCTAGAATGCAGAATATGCCCCATATCTAAACGTCTTGTAAATCTATTAACGATCCTAAATCCACAAATGATCGAATTGATTTTGCAAGATAGTATGCAATATTCAAAATTTCTTGAGATGTTTTATGCGTAAATATTTTTAATGAATTCTATGGTTAAAAAAATAATTTTTAATATTTTGCATTTTTATTTTAACACGTATACGCCTAGGCAAAACTTCTATTTCTATTTCTATTGAATATTCTTTTTAAAAATCAATTAAAATAGAGGAAGATTTCGTTTTTAAATTTAAAATATATAATTACATTAAGAAATAACTTAATAGTGACAACAACAATAACAATGTGAACTAAAATTATAAAAAATTATAATATTGAATATATATTTTATCCTAATTAGCTGCCTATTTGGTGATATCGAATGTTATCGAAATGACTTGGTAGAAAATTAAATAGAAGAAAATGTAAAAAAAATTAAAAATAATCAAATATGGGTTAAATACAAAAAAAAATTAGATTAATTTTTTTAAAAATAATATGCTTAAATATGAGTAGAAAAAAATACAAAGGTTTTCTCCTTTTATTGGGTGATTTTGTATATTTTCCACGATTTTTTAATATTTTGATTTATAACTTAATTTTTCTGCATTTCATAAAAAGAAATATAAAAATTATTCTAAAATCTTTAAAAAAATAAACAAAACCTAACTAACTAGTTTGTATATTATCTAGTCAGTTTGCATATTAGCAAGCTAGTTTGTTTATAAGCTAAGTTAGCTAGTTTGTAAACTATAGAACTCTCTAGATAATTTCTACACCAGCTAGATAGTTTATAAACTAGCTAAACCTCTAGCTACCATACCGTAGCTTCAGTGGGGGAGGGCAGAGGCTCAAACCCCCTGAAAAATTTGAATAGCCCTCTGAACGAAGATGTTTTTTAATGGATTCCTAATAGCCTGAACGAAAAAATTTATTTGATGACCCCGAATCATTTTGTTTTTAGAATTCTATTATTTATTATATACAGATTTGATATTATTTTTAAAAATTATTAAGACTATTTAAGTTTTTATTAAATGAGTGCTAATTTAATTATTAGATTAATACTATAAATAATTTTTTCACTATGTTAACAATTGCAATCAAATTCTGTGTTAAAAATGGAATATCAATAATATTTTTATTTTAGAATTATAGTATATTTTCATATTATAAAATTATTAGTTTTAGAAATTCTATAATATTTAATATGACATATTATATGACAAATAAAAAGTATTTCAATACGTAATAATAATGCCTAATATCAATCAAGCATTAAAAGTTGGAGCTTAATTGATTTTTATTAGAGTTGTTAACGCTCCTTTTTAAAAGTAGCTAGCTCCCGCTCCTACCTTCTCAAAAGGAGCTCCCGCTCCCGCTCCTACCTTCAAAGGAAGCTAGCTCCCGCTCCAAGTAATGGAGTGCCACTCCATAGCAGCTCCTTTTATTTTCATTTTTTAGAAAGTACACAAAACAAAATCATATTTTTTTATCAATAAGTTATTTTATATTAAATAATATATATCAAAATATTTATAATATTCTATTAGCTTTTAAAAGTAATAAATTTTCTAAATTTAAATCTAACAAACATCCACGCCTCTCCGCTAAAACCTGTTTAGCAATAATAAACAAGCGCTCAACAGGAGCACTAGAGGGAGGCGGGATATTATATTTTATAAAAATATTTTTTCAGGAAATTTATCAAAAGTAGTAATTTTGATATCATTAATTAAAAAATATTTGTCCAGTATATTATCTTCCTGATGATCAATTTCATGGAATCCAAAAAAAATTTCCAAATCATTGCAGGATTCCCGTAAATTAGTATTTTTGCATCAGGAATTTTTTTTCTTAAAAAATTAATTAATTTGTATTTTTAGTTCCATATTTTGCGCATTTTTTATCCATTCCCAATTTAATTTGAATGAAGGATGGATAATAGCCGCAATGATATTTTCATCATTATAAACATTTGAAAAAATAAAGTTATTTAAATAGATAATTTATTTTTTATTTCGATTTCTTTTCTATAATGTCTGGATCCATAATATCAAAAACTATTTTTTATCATATATCTATAAAATGAATATTAATATGACTTGCAAGATTTTTCAAAAAATTTTCAATATAAAAAGAAAGAAAAACTTGATGTTTAATATTTTAATTGATTAGATGAAAAACCAATATAAAACCCGGGTCAACAATTATTATTGCAAAAATTTAAAATAAAATTTCATTTTTTATTGAATTTTATTTAACAAATAAATAGATTTATTAATATTTATAAAATAATTTAATTTATACATTAAATTTAAAAGAGCGGTAGAGCGGCGCATCTCCACTCCAGACGGAGCTAGTTCCCGTTCCTGATTTTTAAAAGGAGGGGCGCTCCTATAGCGCTGTTCCTTAACAACTCTAATTTTTGTTATTTAAATTAGTTTATAACCCTAATTAAATAAATATATTCATTTATTAATTGAAAATAAAATAAATCCAATTTAATTTTGTGATAATTGTTATCGAGTTCAAAATCACTAATCAATTATATTGCTAATTTTAAATTTAATTTACTATACCTCTTCCTAAGAACATTTCTAATATCCAAACCGGTTTATAATACTTCTTTGTTAAAACTAGGTGTATTTAATTAAAATATCTTTTATTTATATTTATTAGATAATGAAGAGAGAAAAGATATTGATTTCGAAATGTGCTTTAAATAATAGAAATGGATGCAATATTGATGTTGATAATATTTTAGACAAAAGATGAGGAGGCAATAAAAGAGTTGGAGTTTAACAAAGAATATTTAATTAAATTTATTAGATGAAGAATGAAGAGATATTTATTCTGAGATAAATGCTTTAAATAATGGAAAGGAAGCAATATTGGATATTTTTTGACAAAGGAAGATGAGGCAATGAAAGAGTTGTGAACAAAGTACATTTAAAATACAGTTTCTCAATTTCATACTATGCTTTAGATAATAAAAGAGGATTAATTGTAATTCTGAGAGATATAAATAATGAAGGAAAAAAAAGAGAAAGAAGGTAAATTAATTAATATATAAGATATTTTATTTGTATAAAACAATAAAAGTTGTATGTGAAGATCAATCTGAATATATCTCTGCTGGTATAAATTTTCTAATGTAATTAAAGATAAAATTAAATATAGGCATGAAATCTGATGAGTATGCTAGGATAAGTCTGATTTTCGGTAGCAACAATCCATAGAAGGGTATTTTATTTTATCACTTTTGTAAATCTTTACTTGCAAATTTTTTTATATTCACAACATTTAATTCTCTTTGATATTATAAATTATAATATATATATTCTGCAATCACAAATATTTAATACTGTTAGATAAATATTTTTTATTAAAAAATATTATCTTAGCTTACTTAATATCTTGTATTTTTTTACTTATTATTTATATCCTAGTATGTATGCATTATAAATGACAAAATATAAAATTTTGAATACAAGTTCAGAGTTTGCAAATTTCAATTTAAAAAAGCGTCCCCCCCCCACTCCCATAAAAAATGTTAGTTGAGCCTCCTGAGATTGTAAAGGCTAGTTACGCCTTTTGTACTATATATAAGCTATAACTTACTAATACAATTTGAATAAATTTAATATACCTTGATTCCTTGTGAACCGGGATCACCCTAACACAAAAAATATATAATATACTGACTTTAAATAAATGATTTAGTAAACTTTAGTAATTACAGTATAAAGTACGCAACCGTTATCATAAATATGATAAAATATTTTATAATTATATAGATAATTATAGATATTATTTATATTTTATAATTATATATATTGTTTATATTTAATGTATGTTATATAGAATCGTTCATACCTAAATTAATGATATTTCTTTAAAAATAGGGAATACAATATACATAAAACTTACTATTTAGGTCCAGGAGATAATTTTTTTAATATAAAATTTAAAAAAGAAAATATTATGACTATTATTACATCATAAATTTTATAATATATAATTATTACAATATATTATTAGCATAAACCTACGATTTGAAAATAAAGAAATTGTTAGATATTCTAAATATTATTACTAACTTTAATTCCGGGTGGGCCTGTTAAGCCTGGAAATCCCATATCTCCTCTATGACCTGACACACCCTAAAAAATATTTTTATTAATCAAGATTTGAACTAATAAATTATTTAAATTTTAAAATCTTTTTACAATTAATACTTTTATGTGATCACGACAAAATGTCTTAAAATATCCAAAGATAAAAGTTCTGAACATTTTATCACAAAACTGTTATTTTATTTTTTTTAATGAGAACTAGTGAAGATATTATTGTTCACGTTCAGTCTGATGTATAAAAAATGGAATAATTCCAATGGAAAAGAGGAGACCACATCATAATCTATCGAAATATAAACAGAGTGGTTTAGTTTGAGAAATTTAAAAAAGTAATCAATTAATGAACCTAGTTTTTTTAAAAAAAGTATCAATGGGATTAGAAACGTGACATTGATCTTCACCAACGACAATTCCATGTAAAATGCATTTTCCTTTATATCGGAATGGCGGTTAACTTATTTTTTAAAATTATTTTGAATAACTTGTAGAAAAAAACTTCAAAAGTTTCAATTATAATCAATAAATATTAAATAATTACTGGTAATCCCATGACTCCTCGCGACCCAGAGTTTCCTTTGTTACCCTAAATTATTATGAGATAAGATAATATCAAGTTTAAAATGCAAAATTTGCAATGTTAAAGAAAAGGTAAAAATTTAAAAAAAATAAAACTATTAATAGAAATAACTTGAATTCCTTGGATTCCATTTTCACCCTTAAGACCAGGCCTTCCCGGTAAGCCCAGAGGGCCCTATAATTTATTTTAAGAGTTGTAACATTTTTTTTATTGCACTATTTATTAATATATAGAGTATCTATTATTTATATAACAGGTACCTGCAGCAATCAAAATATTACCTCGGCCACGGATTTGGAAAATTTTTCAAACCCAGCTAGGGATTAATATTTTTGATCATTTTAAGGCCCCGGAATTTTTAAAATTTCTCTATTTTCCTCCATTATATGACTTTTCAACATTTCCAACTGTTTAATTATTGATATAATTTAAATTATCGGCTCGGTAAGGCCTACCATTTTTTGGTCCGTTCTCGCCTGGACTACAGGTCTCTGGTATACATAATAGATAATGTTCACAAAATATTCGGTCTCTACGTCTTTTTATGATTAAAAGTAAAACTAACTTTCCTGAAGCAGGATTATAATTAGATAACTGTTTTATATTTATTTTATATAAAATAATTTAATTGTAAATCATAAGATAAGTAAAATCCACAATTAAAGAGTGAATAGATCATACTCGAGGTCCCGGTGGTCCAGGAAGCTTTAAAAATAAATAAAATATGTAATATAGTGCTTAATAAAATATACAATAAAATTAGAAATTTATTCAATAATATATAAAATCTAGAACAAGGAGAAATTTCGGTTCCTGTTCCGCTTTTAAGAAATAAAGTGTTCCGCTTTCGAAAACGTTTCGAAACTTTTCTGAAAAATAATTTTATTTCTTATTTATTAACGAACACTTCTTTTCCTCATAAAGTTCAATTCCCTATACATTTTAGTCATTGATTTAAAAATATAAGATTAAAACAGAAGACATCTTTTAATTTTTATTTTAAAATTTTAGTGTTTAATATCAATATTTTTATGAATTACCCAAAGATTGCCGCTATGCCTTTGATAAATTAAAAAAATTTGGGAATTGAGAAAATAGATGGTAATAATTTTTAAAATGATTCATACATCAAATAAATATAAATAATTACCCCTAACATTGGAGTTCCATTGATTTGAGAAAATGCAGATCTCTTTTTTAGATTTTTTAAAATATATATATATTTTTTTTTATAAATAGTTACAATATGATTATTGTGAGTAGGGTATTATATTGCTCGCTCATATTATACAACAAAAAATCCTCATTAATTATAAGGTAATCTAACAAATGCAACTCTTTTTTGGTTAGATTAGTTTGGTGATTACAATAGAAAAAAACTTGTTAGTTGATACAGATAGTTTAATTGTAAGAGGCGACAAAATTATTTTTTTGAAATGATAGCCAGTGTAGTTTTAGAAGGCAATGTTCTCATGACTCCCATAGTTGCTGAGATTCCTATGAGAGTACCCTCTAGTCTAAATTATGCAGGTAGATGACTCGCTTGAACCACCGTACTCACTCCAAAAATGCATCTGCATTGCAATTGGTACCAAACCCATTAAAAATCGTTTATGAAAATATAACATTAACTACAGTACGATTGACAGCATTTTTTGTTATGCACAAATTTTTAAAAATAATAACTTTCATAAAGAATAAGGATTGAATGCCTTTCTTTAAAATGTTTAATCCATTTATCTAATGGTATAATCTCACATGATATAAAAAATTAACATAAAATCAAAATATCCACTGCCCCACCCCTAAGTATTTGATAAAATTACTGCGTCCACTAGTGTTGCTAAATGGCTCGAGGCCCGATTTGAGTCGATTTTTAAAAAGAGCCCGATCAAGATTTTAGCTAAAATAATATTATGTAAGCCTCGAGATTTTTCAAATAGGGGACCAAACCTTTTTGCAGTCTATCAGCAAAATCTTCGAGCTTATATAATAACAACACTACTGCTAACTCAATATTTTATCTAGAACAATATTACTCAAGCCTGAAGATGTTGGTCTATGGCATTGGACACCTATTAGCAAAATCTCGAGACTTAGGCAATATTTTTCTGGCTATAATATTGATTAAGTCGTTTCTAAACCAAATCGAGTCATTTAACAACACTACCGGTTATCCCTCTTTCAGCGATAGAGGAAAGCTTAATACTGAACTTAGTTCTTAAAAAAATAATAAATATAAAAATATAATAATGAGTAAATAATTACTGAGATCATTCCCCCAGGGTTTCCAGGCAGGCCCATTACTCCAGGCAAGCCGGGTAATCCTATTATTCCTCTTTCGCCATTTTCTCCCTAGATACATTGTATATGAGAATATTTAGATTTGCATTGTAATATATTAAAAATAATATATTTATTTTTAAAATTATAAATATAACAAATTATTAGTGGGTTTTAATTTTGTAGAATCGATTTTACCGGAAATAAATTCCAGTTTTATCAGAATACACTTACCATATTATTTTCAGACATTTTTTCCATATATTTATTTTGTAGTTTTTTAATTTATATGAAATAACTATAATATAAAAATTAATATAGGCAAAATTTTCTAAAATCATGCAGTAATTTACTTTTGGTCAAATCAGATTTTTATTATTTAAAAATTGCTCTCAGTAATATTTAAAATGGAGCGATTCAGAGTCATACGTGGTTACTCAGGATTAGTTCTTTTCCTTGATTAACTTACCAACTATATATATTCATATTCTAATTTAATTGAAGAAAAAAACTTTTAAATAAATATAGTTGGGTAATCGGATTATTTTAGCCAATTTTAAAAACGAGCAGAGCTTCAAGGTTTTCTCTTAAAAGATGCATCAATCTTAGAAAAAGGGGGAAAAGATTCTCTTGCGTAACAAGACTTTTCTGATATTTTTTTTCGGCATGCGACTGAAGATTGAGTCAAATTAGTCAATTTAAGCCGATAACACACGTATACAATAGTTGAGAAATGAACTTAATTATTTATTATAGTTATCAAATTTACTGCCCATAGGCCTATTTAGGTGGAGAGAGAGAAGCACCCTTCCTTTCCCTAAATTTTTAATTAAAAATTGGTATTTTAAATTTTGCTTCCCCCGAAACTAAATTTTAGATAGGTTATAATAGTAATAATATATATATATAAAGAAATACCATTTCTCCCTTTTCTCCTGGAAATCCAGGCATCCCTATATCTCCGGTTGGTCCAGGCAAACCTTTTCCCTATATTCATTAAAAATGAAATATTATTTATTTAATTTTAAATTCATATTATTGTATTAATTATTTTTTATCAATTAATTTATTAAACGGTTGCGCACTTAAAAATATGTTTGTTACTATATTATTATAATACTTAGTTTTAATTCATATAAATATATTTTGTAGAATAATATGACTTTGAAAGATAAAAATATAGTTAGAAAAAGATATATTATATATAAAATATAGTAAGTTTTTCTGGAATATCCGCAGGGATGGACAAATGGCTAACAAATTTAAAATATATTCGAACTTTGTATTGTATTTTCATATTTGCCAAAATAAAGAAATAAAAATATATTAAAGATTTTTATAAGAGATTCTTTATTGACTATATTACTATTGCATAATATCAAAAGTGGTCCGAAGAAACTAGCCCATCTAGAACTATTTCACCCCGGTGGTAAGGCGAATTTATCGCCTCTATATATGATTAGCTCCAATATATTTTATAGCTGAATTATGAAGTTATTATTGTATATTATTAGTTTAACTTAGGTCCTAAGATAATATTACTAGTCCTCTGACCCCGATCTTTCTAACCCCTCTCTTATGAAATTCAGATATTTCGCATAGAAATTTTGCATATTTTTCATTTATATAAAAAATTGATAAAAAGTTAACGGAAAAATTGTCTGAAATTGATAGAGAAGGTGCTCGACATGAAAATATTTCGAATAAAATGATATTTTTTTAAATTTAAAAATCCCTAATTATGAGATATTCCGAATCTTCTGAGATTTCGGGTAAGATAAGAAATATCAATTGCAATATATTTTTGAATTTGAATAATAGAAATTTTTGATTATTAGTTTGAATTCGAGTATATGATTGTTGAATTAAATTTTAATATATTATTAGTTTTTAAATAAATAACGTAGTTTTTTATAGTAATTGATTGTAATAGCCCTATGATATTTAAATGTTTCTAATCAACATTTTTCATATAATGAAAATAAGTTATGGGATTAGTTATAACCTTTAATTTATTGTTTAAAATATCATACCAATATTCCTTCACGAAATTTACTCCTATATAATAAGTATATTATTTTTAAAATACATAATTTAAATATAGATTTGAACAAAAAACAAAACTCTTCTTCCTCTAAGTCCTCTTTCGCCAGAGATCCCTGGATGTCCCATATCGCCCTTATCACCTCTAGGCCCTTGTTCTCCCTTTATTGAAAAAATGAAAAAAATCAACGAAATTTTTTTAAAAATTGAGTAATGAATGAAATGAAATTTAATAATTATAAAGAATACACTTTATATGTATACTTTGCTTCCTTATCTAAATAAATAATTAAGATCTAATCATATTTCTATAAAATTAATTAAACTTTATGATACAAAGTTAAAGAAAGAAAAACGGCAGTGAAATTTATCGATTTTTTGAAGATTTGTCTAAGAATAATTATTAGCAATAATTTCTTTTTTAATAAACCTTTCCCCCTTTTAATCCTGGAGTTCCATTGATTCCAGGCGGTCCCGGGGGGCCAGTAATAATCTTAAAATGGCCCGAGGATGAATTAAATGTAGCTTTCGCTTCATTAAACTTTATAAATAAAGATTAATAAAAAAATTATAAATGAGTAGAAAACTATATCATGTTAAAAAAGAATATTAATTATTTAAAATAGTTCAAATATAAATATAGTAATAAAATACAAAATACCTTATCTGGGTTAAAAATTTAATAGCCCGTCCCGTAATCCCCTTAAAAATAAAAAGAATTAGCCGATCTTACTTAGGCAAATAAAATATATTATAATATAACCGAAAACAGCTAAACTATATTTTATAAAAAAAATATAACAAACCGCATTTTTAGGTAGGGCACAGTTTTCTCCTTTTGCGCCAGAATCTCCTTTAATTCCCTTTTAAATATAACGTAATTAGTTTTATAAAAATTTATATATAAATTTTAAGTTTATAAAAATAAAAATACAATGAATTTGCTTTACGTTTATCCCGGGGTTTCCCTTCATTCCTGGTAAACCCTAATATAAAATATTATTTTATAACTATATTTTGGAAAATATATTTATTAACATTATGTATTTCTTAATTTTATTTTGTTTTTCATTCTCAAATAGTATAGTAACTCATTAGTAACCTTATCCTCATCATCCAAACCTTTATTTCTTATTCACCGAAATATCATTTTTTTTAAAATCAAATATTTTAATACTAATTGATATTATTATTTTCATCAAAATTTAGTCACGGGTTCTAATCTAACTACATTTCAACCAATTTTAAGTCAAATATAATAAGTATATATATTTATATTTTATTAAAGAAACATATTTAAAATTTTATATTTTGAGGGCATTTTTTTATATAAAATGTATAAAGTGGATATAAGGACTTTTAAAGATAAAAAATTTTCCTAAATCAATTTTTAAATGTGGATGATTTATCAAAGAAATAAAACTTACTTTTTAACATGAATATAGAGAGAAACAACAAATGTTTCTAATATCGTTAATAAATAATAATATTTTAATTCACACTATATAATCGTCCTTTATTCTATTTTTATCTCGATTCTAAGATCCTTTCAAAAAAATCAATATTAAAGCCTTAAATAAATAATACTAAATTTCTTACTGGAATACCAATTCTTCCATCAAATCCGGGAAGTCCTGTCGGTCCTGGAAGGCCTGGTGGTCCAGGTAATCCAGACTCACCACGCTCCCCCTATACAAATATATTTGATGTAAAACAATGATTAATTTTTTTTACACAAATAATTATTACAAAAAAGGTATTCATAATATAATAACTTAATTATAAATACATTAGTTATTGGTTAGATAGTTAATTTTGAAATCTCAAAAATGAACAACTTATATGAACTTATAGAATCTTTAGTAATTAAACTTAACTTAAAATAAATAATATCGTTCATAATATGATCAACTAAAACTCAGAATTCTCAATAGGATTCAACAAGAGCTTATGGTTTATATAGTTAATTAAAATATTCAACATAAAATATGCCTTAAAACCTTATGGCATTTTTGGTAAAACATTAAAAATATACAAATCGTATTCTCAATGTAAAAATAACAGTTAACTACTGATAAAAAAATAATAAAAAAATAGGATATAATTACCTTAAAATTGATCATCTTAATATACTCATCATATGATGGAAATTTACCTCTACTGGGAGTTTCATTCTTTCATAAATAATGAATTATAAAAAAAAGGAATAAAAAAGTTCCATAATAATATAATATAAGTAAACGTTTATAATATATGATAAAATAAATGGGCTAACTTTAATAAAAAATATTTCAGAATTGTCAATTGTGTTAATAGGCAATGAGCGTTTTAGGAGTTGCTTTAGCGTTATAAGTAAAAAAAATAATTTTAGTGGTGTTTTAGTTTTCTTTCTAAATTAGAAAAGAAGAAGAGAGAGAGAAGAGAAGAGAAGAGAAGAGAAGAGAAGAGAAGAGAAGAGAAGAGAAGAGAAGAGAAGAGAAGAGAAGAGAAGAGAAGAGAAGAGAGAGAAGAAGTAAAAAGTTGGAAAAGCTGATAAAATGAAATGTAAAAATATAAGCGCATAAGCTTAAAGCAAACTTGATGTGACAACAATGGCCTGAGTGAATTATCCCAATAACCCCCTTTACCCTAAGCATTAAAAATAAACATATATATAAATGGTTATATATTATCCAAGGTAGGTTAAACGAACATTTAATGTATGGCAATCCCGATCCTTTCAAAAAAGAGGATTAGCTACTCCTTAGATGGAAAATTTCAGTCTAAATTTTATTTTACAAAGTGTTTATAAAAAAATAATGATTCCATTTGGCATCTATGGGAGCCTAAATACAGTATGATGTTCTTAAGAATAAAAATGCTAACATTATAATAAATATTGTTAGATTTTATGTGTAATTGACTAGTAATAGAAATTATATCATAAAAACTAAAAGGATGTAATAAAAATTATTATAAAAAAATAAGCACAAAATTAAAATATAGTAAAAAATTAAAATTGGATGCTAAATTACTGGAAGTATAGATTTTTTAAATTAATTTTCAATTCAATTTGTGATATAAATACAATTTATCTGAACCTTATGTTTGCGAGATACATTTTTAAAAGTAAGAAAGTATCGGGCAATAGGAAAAAAATCATATCCCGATCCTCATTTTTGAAAAAGATCGGCAAAATTTCCAAAATTAAGATGGGCAATCTAGAATTAACAACTCCGATATTATTATCATTAGATATTCATAATTTGGTCAATTAATAATCAGCCTTAGTAGTAGCTGGAGAGGAGTAAAAGAGTGCCTAAAGAACTCAAATTTAGTTTGCGCTTAAGATATTTAACTTTTGAGCTAGTGTTGTTAAACGGCTCCATTTGAGCTCATTTTTTAAAAATGATTAACTCAATATTTTAGCTAAAAAAATATTGCCTAAACTTCGAGATATCGCCGCTAATAGATATACAAACCTTTGTGCCATCTATGACCTAAATTTTAAAGTGTAATTTTTTTTTGGATAAAATATTGAGTTAGCCGTTTTTAAAAATCGGGTCAAATTGAGCCGTTTAACAACACTAATTTGAGCAAAATGTTTTAATATACATATATATATTTTTTGTAATTGTAATAGAAAAATCTTTTGTTAAAATATTTAAAAAAAAGGTAAAATCATAAAATTTTTGGTATTCAAAAACAAAATTATAATTTACCAAATTTTCTCCATTGTAGCCACTTTCGCCTTTTAAACCCTATAAAGATGTAATTTATTTATTAAAATATTGTCATTAAAGAAAAAAAATATTTAAAGTCTTTTAGTGCATATTATAATCATATATTTTAACTTATATTATAAATTAAATTAATGAACAGTTGCTATTAGATGAATTATATTATGTTCAAGATATGGTGCAAAAATATTTAGATAATAGTCAAGTCAATTTACATTATAATCCATCACAGG